GCACTATTTTATCAACCGATTCACACTATAACCAGGGTTTGCCTCTGATCTGTATTAAATTTTATTTAATTTAATAACGGTACAGTACTCTGTTTTTGGTAACCATTGTCGTTGATGTAAATATGTAAAAATTGTGTATGTTTCTGTTCTGTGTCTTGTGTACTGTTTGTTTGTATATGTGTCTTTCTTGCTGCTGTTACACCCAAATTTCCCCTTGTGGGACAATTAAAGGATTATTCTATTCTATTCTATTCTATTCTACCATTACTCTAGTGTTTATATGTGAAATACAGTGCATGGATAAAGATATTTTATGGTTAGCACAGGTTAGCATAAGTTCTCAAAACAGGGGAAAACTTTCTAGCCTTGCTTTATCTAAATACATCAAAATTAGCCAAAGCTAGTAAATTCATCTCATGCTGACAACAGGAAATTAGGAAGTTAGTGCTCCCATGATACTTTAGCTACTTTTGGCTGCTCACAAAAGGTCACTACAGCAAGTAGCTCCATATGTTTGAGTTGGCAGAATTTTTATGCAGATGCAGACCCAAAAGGAAGTTGTGTCTCTTCCCTTTGGGTCTGCATCAAACAAGGGATCTTTCACTTGTTAGGCAAATGTGTAATCCACTACACCATAAAGCCTCTTCCATGTTACTCTGCAATCTGAAAATAGCAATATTCCACTTTCAATATATACAGTGTTTCTTTAAGACACTGTTTAGAAACTTAATTTAACTAAACAGACTGTGAAGAATTAAAAAATAGGACATTATAGTATGTTGAAGTTGTCAGATATGTAAGTTAGTATATTGTACTGTCTGCTTAAGTTAGCATGCTAATTAGCTAGCACCAGGTGACGGAATAGCAATGTTGTCCGGAGAGGATTTTTTTACAGTCTGTGATTCTTTATTCTTTTTAATCATGTTGAATGAAAGACAGTCAATGAAAAAAACATAAACTCAATGATGTCTGACGTCTTAGCAGTTTGGTTTCTTCCTGCATTTATACTTCCTCACACATGCTTTAGATGGCCCCTCCCAGAGTCCCTGACAATAGGCAATACCAAGGACTGGCCCACACAGCATATAAGTGAGGTCATATCATTTATCCAGCAACCCCTTCCACTTATGAATTGCATCTTTAAATCGAGGAGATGTAAAATGTTAGTTTGTAGTTTATAGATGCCGGTGGGGATGTGTTCTACATCTGGAAACAGCCAGGCTGACTCAGGTACTAAACTACTGACTGAATAATCTAAAGCTTGTGTGACATAGTTCTAGATCAGGTAAGAACACTGGGACACTCTTCATAAAAGCAATTTTTATACCAATTTGACCTTTAAAAAAGTGACAGTCAGTGCCTGCGGTGATGAGAAAACACTATGCTTTCATTGACCTTGGGTGGATACATTAACTCTGTACATGCCCTCCATTGTTTCTTTCACTATGTTTGCCATAACCATGCATGACTAGACAAACCAGAAATACAAAATTCAATGCAGTGTGTCATTTAACCCGAGCCCGTTTCATAATAAAATCAAACACAGACATCTAAGTCAAAAGACAAGGCGATTTTTGCTCCAAAGGAAAAGCACATAACATTTTGAGCTTTTAGTTTGTAGTTTATTCATGGGTGGAAAGGCACCTGTATGTTCTTACTAATCTATATATTCACACACCTGCTTCTTCTAAGGCAACTTGTTATGGTGCTAAAGACAATCAAATCAGTAATTTGTTCTCATAAAAATGGACCGTGTCACTAAAAAGGTCAGACAGTTAACTGTACTGAAAGACCAAAACAAATGTCTCAGTTTAATAGCTACACATCTATCGTGATTTCCTCTGCAGTCTAGTGATGACAGTCCTGTCATTTCCACTCTTTCTTCTCAGAGTCCCCTTCTGTCATTACACTGCCCCCTGACACTATTAATCTGTTCCCTTGGCAACTGCACTGCACAACCACCGCTACACATGCATGTCAAGCCCAAGGGTCGAATAACCCTAATAATCACCAAGCAATAACTAAAACCTGTAGTTGCATAATATATTGAATATTATTAATCAAAAACACTGAAAGCTAGCTAATAAGATATGTTTTGATAATTAAAAATTACCCTAGTGCGCCTTTAGTTGTTTATTAGATTTTTTTGCTATGTGTGGCTCTTCATAGGTCTTCATAGTGAAAATGTGTTTTACTGTTTTGAGGTGAGGAATTTCCTCCAGCCAAGACTGCAGCAGAGGCACAGTGGCCTACATACCAGACGTCTGTTGAACTGCCCTGTTGAATTGCCCTAGAAATAGACCCAGTATAACCTATTTGATTATGGAAATAAAAGACACATGTTTATGTCATAGCTTACTAAATGAAAATATATAGAGAAATCTCTACATGTCTGCAGCAGTTTTATGTCCTTGGACAAAAAGGCTACAAACAGTGCCGGTAAACGTTTTCCCAACACGTCCACACATGCACATGTCCAAATCAGCACCACTGAAAGCTAGAAACACTGAAACTATCACATGGAGCAGCAGAGAATGAGGAAACAATGCTCTCTGGTGTAGTCTAGCTTTTGCATTGTCACCTTTGGCTTTGTAAATTATGCAAGACAGCCATTGGCTGATTTTTAAATTATTCAGCAGGGGAGTGGATCACAAGATATAAAGTCCTAGCAGAAGACACAGGACCAGACTAGACCTGACCACACACACACACACACACCCTTGGAAAACACACAGGCAGACATACAAGAAAAAGAGCCAATCAAACTATCCAGAGCAGTGCCACTGCTTTGGGTTGACTCAGTGTTTGTGGTAATGATGATTTGTGGAGGTGGCTCCTGCTGTCATCTGTAGATGTGTCAATGAAGCTGTGAGGTTTGTAATTTAATTCAGCTGTGACTTTATTGGTCTTAAATGGCTCCACTCTAACCCAGTTAGTGCACAGGTTCTTGTATGCTGCCACCACCTCGGTTACAGTCGGTTTCAGCATGGAGTAAAAGAAAGTGGCCTTGAAACAGCACAGGGAGGGGAACTTAAATGGGTCTGTCAAACTACCTTAAAATATTACATGTTTCTCCTTCCCAATCTCTCCTTCTTTCTCCCTGGGTGTCCACCATCTTCTGGACACAAAGGGTCAACAGAGGGGGTCATCACCATGGCTACTATATCCTGCAGCACACCCATTTAAGTAAACGGAACGAACAAGCCCAAAATGCTGGCATGGTCTGCGTGTGTGGCTGTGTAATAAGTAAGGCATAGGACCTATAAAGCTACAGTCAGTGCAGTGAGGATGAGGGCCACACTTACATTCCAGGTGCTTTTTCTTGGGCGCCATCACTTCGTGAGTGGTGGCTTTGCAGACAGCCCGGGCCATATCCGATCCCGTTAGCTGGTACTGCGCAGCGGCAATGCGATCCGTGAGCGTTTGCCCCGACATTTTCTCCTAGTTGTTTCGACCTCCTCAGGAATTTATTTCACCACAGGACGGTGAGGGGGAGAGGGGGAAATACGAATACAACCCAGCTTCTTCCCTGCGGTTCAGTGAGATGAGTGCGTCCCTCTCCTAGATGATATAGGCCTGCGACCTTATGTGTGGGAGGGGGGTGGGGGAAAAGCAGAAAAAATGAGCTGGATAAATGTTATTTTCGCAGTAAATCGTGTGGTCACGTTGTTAATATTCGCCGTTGCATGAGTAGACTTACGCAAGGTTGTGAATTCCCGGCGGCTCGTCCTGTTATAGGCTCCGAGCGTTCAGTTCAGCACCTTGGAGAGCTAAAGCCACTCGGTTATGTAACAAGCTGGCGACGAAAGCTATTTTCTCAATCCGGTGAATTTTATTCCAGCAATGGAATAGACTCGTCTAATCGTAGAACAGTGTTTCTGAAAAATAAGGTATATAAATCAGCGCTGCATAGGTCGGTCAAATATCCCTGTTGGAGGGGAACACAGGTTTTCGCTCCCTTTCCCTCCTTCGTTGTTGCATTACAAAAAAGCTTTTGAATAAATGAAGAACCCGCAGTGCAAAGCAGGTCGTCAGATTGCGGCTTTTCTTTCCTCTTTGATCCGTCAGTCTCGGCTCGGGAATGCCGTTTCAGGCTGTGGTCCTTAGAGCGATAGAAAATTGCGCACCGCTTCCCGTCGCCAACACTGCGCAGCGCAAGAGGCTCGGAAACAGGAAAAGCGAGTAGGGAATTTCCTTTTCCCCTTCCCCCTGTGGTTTGTTTATTTATTTGACCTGTCTACAAGTCCATCCAGACTCTCCTCCTCTCGGCAGCTTCTCGGACAGGGTTGGGTGACACACGTCGCATCATCACGTCTCTTAAAGGGGTGTGGGCATGGGGGGTCACAGTACAGAAATCGCTATCAATTTGCGCCAAAGGGTTAATACACCAGCGTCATGGTGGCATACTAGCTGCTGCATGTGGGCTGTATCACACCGGGGCTGCTCGTAGATCACGCGGAGTGACAGATGATGAAGGTGAAACAATTCCTGCTCTAAGCAGGCTCCTTTTAAATATGTGATCGGCAGAGGTATTTTAATCACATGTTAAACCACAAAAAAACTGCTGATCACAATATTTTTTTGTTTTGTATTTGGGAACATCATGTATTTTGTATTCAGAGCAGATGATATTGGGGATGTATGCCATATGATGAGTTAGCGTATTTGCTTGTAGCTCAACTCTGCCAGAGAGCTCGATAATCACGATGCATTCTGGGTAGACCCGGCCATGTTGTTGTTCGCGTAAAACCAAAGTAAAGATAGACATTGTATAATCATTTATGCTGCTATTATGAGCCCTTGGCTTATCTGTTATTGTGAATCTTGTTTGTGTTCTTGTTATTTAGGCTAGTTTTTTAATTTAATGATTAACAAGATAATTATTAAAAAGATGGACACCAGCCTGTAGCCAGATTTGGGCTTATCCAGGTAACTTCAAGGTTGACCCTGGATTCACTTCTTGCCAGGCTAAATTGCCATGGTGACTTACGCTGCCGAATTAGTGATCAGTAGGTGTGAAACTACACACATACATATATTTAAAATATAATATGAGTAAAGGGTTTGGACACACCTAATTATTTAATATTTTTTCTTTATTTTGATGACTATTACAGTGTAGATTTTCACTTAAAGCATATGGAATTATGCAGAAACAAAAAAGTGTGAAATAACTCAAAACATTTTTTAGATCTTCAAAATAACCACTCTTTGCTTTGATTACTGCTTTGCACACTCTTGGCATTCTCTTAATGAGCTTCATGGGGTCGTCACCTAAAATGGTTTTATATAGTTATGAGTAGACATAAACACACTTATTCAAACTATGCATTTTAACGCATGTCATAAATTATGTTTATATATATTGTTTGTATTCATATTTATGTCAGTATATTTAGCTTATCTAAGTTTTTTTGCACTGTGTGAAGAAGTATTGCCTTCATTTTGTTATGCTTGCATAATGACAATAAAGTCTAGACTCTTGAAACTTTTAACTCACACAGTTGACATTTTTTTCTTGCTTTCATATAGGCTAAACTTTATTAGTTCAGCAACTCTTTGCCCTTTCTTACAGGCCAAACCATTTCAAGTACACAGACATTCATAAAATGCTTTTAAAACCACACAGATGTACAGTGCTTACCCACAATGCTGATTTAAATGTAGAAGCTGGGTTACTTGCATTCTTTACTATAAGTTCAACACAGAATGCAACATTTTCTCAACAAAACATTTGTAGGACTCAGTCAGGCAACCAATGAGGCTTGGCTCTGTGATTCATGCAGAAAAACATTTTTTGGATCTTTGGCCCTGCACAGTTTCTTTTTACTTGGTATTTTTTAATGCTGCAGGTTTACATATTTTCTTTTCTTTTACAGTTTATAATTTTACATCTTATAGCACCACATACACCTTTATTAGGCAAAAGGTTTTACTTGGAATATTGCAGTGTCATAATGCCCTTACGTTTCTACACTATAGTTACACTAAACTGTACAGTGAATCTTTCAGAATTAGAGTAATTCATACGTTAAATTGTTTTTCATGTATTTTATTGTGGTACAGTGTTTCATTACAACACTTCATGTTTTGGTGCAGCAGCAAGTGGAAGGGCTTGTGGTGATGCCAGTCAGAGGGAGTCGCAGAGACTTCTGTGTGTCTGAGGTGTAAAATCGTACCCAGATTTCATTGTCGCATTTCAAAAGCTGGCTTTCCGGAAACAAAGGAATAAAGATTTTGCTTTTGCAGCTGCCCTGCAGCCTGTACGCATGAAAGAGATGTCTGATATGAAGTGTACGGGAGGTGCCCAGTCAGGGCATTATAATGCATGACGTCGGCGACATCACGATCCCGTGCTCTGCAGAGCTCTAAATAGAACCCTCAGTTGTATCACTTGTGTATTTTAATTTTGTTTTACTTCTGTGTTGTTTTACTTTTGTTTTTGTTTTCTTTCTCATTGTGAAAATGAGCTGAAAAAAATACGATAATTAGGAAAATAAAATGTACCGACAGTAAAGTATAAAAAAAGAAACTAAAAAAACCCCCAAAACGCTCGACTCTGGCTGAGCATGCGCTGTGTATTCGCAACACGTGACGTACGCGGAAATAAAGCCACGTCGCCCGTGAGAAGGGAGAAGGCGGAACCTAGATCCAGGAAGCTTTTCACTGACTGCACTGTAGTGGAGATACTTCAGAAAACACAACAGTAAGTAAATTAAAATTAAGCCAATCTGCTGCACAGCGCAACCTTTGGTTTAAACACAACGCGTTTATTGTAGTCTCTTGGTTTATGGGGCTTGAGACGATTTTATGTAACTTATTTTACTTGGGAGAAGCAAGTAACTTTCTTTGCCATTCATTTGTTGTGCTTCATTTTATTGAGCTTTATACTTTGCCCTCATTAAGTGCTGTCAGTGTTTAGTCCAGTCGCCGTGTTTTTAGCCTATTAAATATGGTTAAATATGATAAACAGCATTTTAATAAAGTAAGCATTTCCAGACAAGGGCTTGGGCATGTGACCTCAAATCAAAATCACGACTAATTAAAACATTTTACCCAAATTACGACTAGCGAACCATTATTTATAGTAATAACCTTCATGGTTTACTAGGCTTGTTTTGGAAATATGTTCAAACAGTAAAGCTGGGACACACACAACATATACAGGTGGTATTTTTTGCTAGAGCCAAAATTGTATTTATTTATTTATCCTTTTACTAAACTGCCTTCAAGTAAACAAACAGGCATTACTGTCAAACATGTTCATCAAATATTCCAGCTAGCAAAGAAAAACAGAATATAAACAAATAAACGAAGTACCTTAAATTAACTTAATTCATTTTGCTGGGACTCATTCCAAGTATTTCTGTTTTATAGCATTCCTCTTTTCCAATCTTTTTATACACTGAAGATAAATTGCATAATTTTTAAATGCAGAAAAACTTGGAATAAACAAAAGTACACTTATAAATATAAAACTTTCCAATAATCAAAAGGTTTACACACCGAAATTCCACCTTGATTCTTTATAGAAACCCGAAACGTAATCATATCATATTCTTACACAGGAAATTCTTTTTTTTTCTACGACAACCATTAATGAACACTGTCTATGTAACTTAATTAACAGCGTGATAATCAGATAACTTGAAACGTAACTAACTTTTAATTACATCAACATTACTGTTATTCCTCCAGCTTTTTGTAAAAGATACGCCAGGATACTAAACCATAATGTTAATTTTTTACAAATGCTCCAACCATTTTAACATAGCACTTAGTACATGAGTTACTTCAAACTCGATGACATTCATACCTCTCGTTTCTACCGATTTTACAACATTGCTTTTCTGAATAAGATGTTCTTTATTACTCCAATGAATTTGGTTTAATAGTTCTGTTTAATACAGCTAAAGTGTAATGCTGGATTTACTCATCTGGCAGTGCAAACTTCTGTAAAAGGAATTCTTTTTTTCTTCACAAAAAAATGTGAAGAACCTTTTTAGCAAAGGTTCCCTGAAAAATGTTATTCTCTGAAACCTTCAGAGAGGCTTCAGGAACCTCCAGGGAACACTACCTGAGGAGTTACCCAGAAATTATTTTGTGAAAACTATTGTTTAGAGGGAGCACACCCTGAAGATTCCCTCTAGGACTTTATGAAAAAGAGTCTTGAGAGAAGATGCGTAGAGTGTTTCCTACAATTTTCTTTTTTTTAGGAATGTTCTCTGAGGGTTTGTTTTGTAAAACCTTAATTTAACCATCTTTAAAGACTTTAAAGACAAACTTCAAAGGGAATGTTCTTTAATAACAAAGACTTGTACAAAATTCTCCAAAGAACATTTTTCGAGTATTCCTTATTTAAAAACAATATCAGGGAACTTTTAGGGAACTTCAGAACTCCTCTAAATAGTCCATTGTTTGTTAAAGAGTTTATTTAAAAAATTATCTGTTGATAAACAGATAATCTTTTTTTTTTTTATAAGAATTTATAGTGTTATGGTATGCATCGGTAGCTTGAATCCCCTGCTTTTATTGCATAATAATAACTGTACATGTTATAATTCAAGTAAGGTTAACATGGCGGGGCTTTAAGGAAGATCTTAACACTTTCTCTGCCACTGATGCTTTTCTGATATGTTTCAGCAATGGCCGAATTTCAAGAAATATCAAAGTTGTCCGCTTTGCATCCGAAGCCCGCAGGGCTTGTTTTGCAGTATGGTACTTCTGGCTTCAGGACCAACGCCAAACAGCTGGACCACATCATGTTCAGGATGGGTCTGTTGGCCACAGTCCGCTCCAAAAAGACCAAAGCAACCATCGGAGTCATGGTTACTGCATCGCACAACCCAGAGGTTAGAGGGATTCATAAGCGCAAATAGCTATGGTTTATTTTCATCATAAATTACAACTTCAGCCCATTCCTGTTTGTGTCATCATGTCTGCACTTGTGTAGGAAGACAACGGGGTGAAGCTCGTTGACCCGATGGGCGAGATGGTGACACAGGACTGGGAGGAGCATGCCACCCAGCTGGCCAATGCAGATCAGGAAGACTTGCTCACTGCTCTGAAGAACATTATAGAAAAGGAGGCCATTAACATGAGCCAGGAGGCTAATGTGTTTGTGGGGAAAGATACTAGGTATAATGTCTTACTACAAACAAATAAATCAAAAACTGATCAAATATAAACCTGTGTGTATGAGTAGAATTCTTTACAGTCGTGTCCTCTGCCTGTAGGAGCAGCAGTGCCAGCCTTTCACAAGCAGTACTGGATGGAGTTTCTGCTCTTGGTGGTCACAGCAAAGGTAAGAGAAGTGGATACCTAAAAGATATTCCTGTGATTGGCTGCCCCTCAGCTGGGTTGCATTAAAATATGACATGGCTTTGCAATGTATTAGCTCCCTG